AATGGTGTTTCATCCTGTATAAAAATCAGAACCTTCCCCCTCTTCTGGGGGTTGTCATTGTTTTTCCCTCCCACTGTTTCTGCCATCAAGTCACGAGAGCAGAGGCACAATCCCAGGAAAGGTCCAGCTGGATCCTTCCACGTGACCCCTGGAGCCGCAGGAGCTGCCCCAAAGCCTCTGCCAAAGCCTCTGCCCCTCGCTGCTCTCCATCTGCTTTATTCCCTTTCTTCTTATCTCCAGCTCGCTCACATTCCCATCTCTCATGGAATATTTTGGGATTCCAACATCATCTCACCGGGAAAACACGCAGGGTTCCTGAGATGACGTCAGTTTYTCTGACACTTCCAAACTGGACTTATAAATATTGTCCCTCCGGAGCCCTGCGTGAGTAAGGTGAGGAAATTCTGGCTTTCCCAACAGGCAGAGCACGAAACTCGGTTGGAACAGAGGCAGCAATTACCCAAAAGAGCTGCGAGGAGGAGCGAGGTTTGGCTCCCTCAGCCTCCTTGAGGCATCCAGCAGGAAGAAAACAAAACTCCCTCCATGCCAATGTGAAGTGTTGTGAAATATTTTATTTCCCCCCCCGAGCTAGAAGAGATTTAATGAGTTTTTAGTGGTGAATCCATATTTATTGGGGCCTATCCAGGGGGCTCCAATGCCAAGGAGATGCTGTTCCATTCCAGAGCCAGCCCACGTTGGGATTTGTCTCCAACAGCATCCCCTCACAGGTTCAGAAATAGCAGCTGAGGCACTGCTTTTTTTTCCCTTCCCTAAAAATCTCATCCAAGTCAAACCCTAAAATGAGTCCTGTCGCCTGCAAGCTGCTGAGATTTGGAGAAGGCGAGGCTGGATTTCTGAAAGGCTTTTATTGCAGGATTCCTGACAGATTTTCCGTGAGATATTCCTGAAATCTTCCAGSTGGTCCCATATGGCTCTCTGATATTTCATCCCTTGCCAGGGTCAGRTGACAGRATGAAAGGAGCCCATGAKGGCAGGAATGACATGGGGGACATGRGAAAGACAAARGAGAAGGAGAAGATAAAATCCTAGTTTACAAGGATTTGGAATTCATTAAATTCAGGAAGATTTTGTAAAGAGTAACAGAGGATTTAACTGGAGGGGGAGGACGAGGTGGAAAGATTTCTTTCCCTTGACAGTGGAGTGGAGAAGGAAAAGAGGAGAATATTTTGCTTATCTGGTTCTAAGCTTGGTTGAGATCATCACATGAGAAAGGCAAACAATTGCTTTACTTTGGGGAAAATGCAATTTTCGTCAAACAAGGGCTGAAATGGGAAAGTAGCTGTGAAATTCAAATGTCGTCACTAAATCTGGAATTTCAAGTTTGCAAAAAGCTTTGACAACTGTTTCAGAAATTATTGTGATTAACAYAGAGGAAAAGCAATGGGAAAAGTGATTTTAGAAAGTGCAAATCCCCCAAGTTTCTGGGGAAAAATCCCCCACAGAAATGTTACAACACTTCCACTTTAGTTATCCCAATGAAATAAATTCCAGAGCACCCTTCTTGACCAGAAATTAAATCTTTATAGGATGAYTAAAACTAATCCCATCTTTACAACCTCCACCCAGCACTGAGGTTCCTCCCTGTTGCACGGAAATGTGGAATTTGCAGTGCTGGTGGAGTAGGACTCCCCTCAWATCCAGYRCAGRATTYTCCTCAAATCCAGCAAAAGATTCCCCTCAAATTCAGCATGGGATTCCCCTCATATCCAGTGCAGGATTCTCCTCAAATCCAGCACAAGATTCCCTTCAAATCCAGTGCAGAATTCCTCTCAAATCCAGCACAAATTTTCCCTCAAATAAAATTTGGAGGCCTTTTTTCCAGGTGCCTCTATAAAAACCCTCCCAAAATTCAGTGCTACACTTTAAAGCTGGGAATTMCACACTCTMCAGCTCCAAGATTATTTTATTTGCYYATTKTAGCTGTAGTTCTGCTCCTCCAAAAGCAKAAGGGAATCAACCCCAGTAGATTCAGGGGATCTCCCATCCCATTCCCCTGGATCCCCAAGCCTAGAAATGCAGCAGAAACGCCAGAGAGGGAGGAAGCAGAGATCTCCCCACCAGCTCAGACACCCGCACCTCTCCCAGGATCTTCCTGCCCATTTTTCCAGAGGGAAATCAGGAGCAACCACTCCTGAAGCAGCATCTTCTCCAAGCAGGCACAGAGGTCTCCTATCCATGGGGACAGATTCCAGAGATGCTTTCCTTACCTTGGTCATCTGCAGCATCTTGGGGTGAGACCTTTACCTGTTTTAAAAGCTGGGRCCACCTACCTTGCAGGGATCCTGGGAGAACTTTCCAGCACAAATTCTTGCAGGACCAAATTCTGGGTCCTGTTTCAGCATCTACAAAACAATTCCCACTGTTGTTTGCAGTGGGAGGAACGCAAACATGTCTGACCTTTCCAGACTGACACCATTCCTTATCTYTGAGGGATCAGGCAGAACATCTGGCTCTGTGGAGCATCTGGAGCTGCTGGATGCAAGAAAATTGGGAAAGGCAGCCAGGAGAAGACTTCCAAGTGCTAAAAAGAGGAATTTGATGGGAAGCCGAGCCAATTTCTCAGGCTGGTCTTGGTATGGGTACAACAAACACGCTCTAGAATAACACAAATCTTTATTTTGTCTGACAATTATCAYACACGTGCTATCAAAAGAGCTTTTCCAGGGAAATATTAGTATAAAACGACAAAAGGGCAAATAGGAATTACACTGCCATGTCATGTTGGGATTGGAAGCAATGTCTTGGAATAAAACAGGATTGGTGTCGGAAATACTCAGCTGAGGTTTCTCAGTTRGGGAATACCTTGTGGGTTCTCGGGCTGTCACATCTTCTCCCACCCCCGATCACAATCCTGCCCTGAGGACATAAATCAAACTGCCCACGATCCCCAGCAGCATCAGGGAGTAGCTGATCCGGACGCTGTTGGCACCGCTGAAGTTGCACAGGGAGGTGCTGCAGCACTTGGTGGAGTAGGAGGCCACCCCGAAGTTCACGTTGGTCTCGGGACAGTCCACGGAGCATTTCTTGGTGATGCGGTGTCCCATTTCCTTGCCTGGGTGGAGAAGGGGTAAGAAAGGAGAGCTGGGATTTAGGATTCTTCTGGAAGAGCTGGGCAGAGGAGGTGGATTTGAAATTTCCTGAATTTTCTGTGCAGCAATTAAAGCTCTCAGGAGTTTGATGAGGGCTGGGTGTGAATTCACAGCCTCTGAATCAAATGTGGGATGCTGGAAAATCCTTGATGGAAACCCACACCAGCCTGACCAGGTATTGGTGGCCAGTTAAAGGTTGGACTCAAGATCTTGAAGGTCTTTCCCAACCTAAATTATWCTGAGATTCCTGTAGGACAGCAATTCCAAWGTATCCCCAGCTTTTAAAACCACATTATTGACATCCAACCCCTTTCCATCCTCCACCCCAAAGCATCTCAGATCTGTCTCCTGAAATCTGTGAGTTCCAGCCAGCCGTTCAACAAGGCTGGGGAGGTGCTGTCAGAGCTTTTTTCAGAGAAATTGTGGCTGCCCCATCCCTGGAAGTGTTAAAGTCCAGTTTGGAGCAACCTGTTCTAGTGAAAAGTGACCCAGGAATGACACAATCCCAAAGTTTCCTGCTACTTCAAAGCACCACTGAGGGATTCACACACATCATGTTGGAATGCTTAAGCCTCAAAATAATCTCTTCTTTCCAACAAAATCAATCAATTCCCTAAAAAAAATATTTCCCAGCAACATCTCTGTCAGAAAAAAAAATCCAGTTTCTGGGACTCACCAATGCCGGCAGTGCTGTACGTGGTTGTGCAGTATTTCTCATTGTCRTCACACTTGTAGGTTTTCAGGCAGTTCCAATTGGAATGTTCATTTTCACAGGTGTAGCAAAACAGGGACGAAGCTGGAAAAAGCACACACAACACAGATTAAGTGGTTCCCAGCAATTCTCTCCTGGGGAAAAAAGTGTCAAAAACCTTGGAAAATACCAGGTGGGAAAGTCTGGTGTGAACAACTTTCCACGACAAGTGAAATAAACTCTTGAGTTTGATTAATGGAGCTGGGGGGGAAAAAAAATTAGAGAACAAACCAAGTTTTCTCTCTGTACTGGAGATTTTGGGGGGTTAAATTTACATTTTTCAGGCTGAGCAGCATTTTCAGGTAACTTTTTTTCTCCCCAGGCTCCACATTGGCCTTGTCAAAAGCCAAACTCCAAAAGCAAAGTCCCAGCCAGGACTGGAGGAACTGGCACAATTGTACAGTTCAATTTTAAAATATTTTCACTCTACATCTGCAAAACCTTGCCCAGGCATGCATTAATTGATGCCTAATGACACCGTTGGGTGCCAGAATATGAGGCACCACAATAAAGGGAGTTCCCTGGGAGAGGTTGCCCTGGACAATGCATGGATTACTCCTATCAGCACCTGGAACAAGGTGTTCTCCGTGTTGTTTTGGTTTGTTTTTTCCCTCGCCAGGTTTTCTTTTTGCCCCTGAGCCAGGTCTATCACAGAAAAAAAAAAAAAGAAGTGGAATTTTATTTGGTACAAGCAAAGTAAATTGTGTCAAATTGCTAGGCTGGCCATCAGAACACAGATGTGCCCCCTCATTTCCTGCAGGTGCATTCACAATTGGTGGAAACTTTCCCTTCTATCCAAAATTTCAAGGAATGCTCTTCTTTTCAGGGCAGGGGTGACAGAAGCATYTGGGCTGTTCTCAGGAAATCCTGCTCCATTGTCACCAGCACATRGCTGAAGGTGAACAAAAATTATAAACCAGGGAGGGTCTCCATGAGGCTGAGATTTCCCTGGTTCTGTTTTTTCTGACTTTCCCAGCTCAGAAAGGCTCTTTTTGCACACAACAGCCCCTTCTGATCAAACTTGGACTTGTTTTTAGCAAGTAAACCCCTCCCAGTGACTCTCCCAGCCCAGTTGTTGTTGATTCAAAATCCCATTTGAGTCTGCCCATGACCCTTGCTCCAACAATTCCAGACGCAGTTTTTAAAGAGAATTAAAAGCCATTTTAATGGCWTTTAGTTTAGTCCCTAACTATCCCAAGGAGAAGAAGAAAAGGCCTCCCCTCAGTGATCTGGGGAGCTCTGGGTGTCTCAGTGCTGCATTGAATTGTTCTGAAACCTGCCCAGATGACTCAAGGAGAGTTGGACAGGGCTTGGAACAACCTGGGATAGTGGAAGGTGTCCCTGTCCATCCAGGGATTGGTAGTAGATGATCTTTAAGGTCTTTTCCAACCCAAACCCTTTTATAATTTGCTGATTCTGTGCTCTTTCCTAATGCCAGCTGTTGCAAGCTCAGGTGCTCTCCAGAGCAGGAGGTAAAATCAGATTTGTTGCAAACCAGATTGAAATTCTCTTTTACAACTCTCACAATTCYTACATCACTTGGGAATTTTCAGCCTCACACCTCTCTTCTTGAGGTTCCCCAGCCCAAGGTGGAGGCTCCCATCCTTTTTTGAAGGCAAAGCAAAACCCAGACATGGCAAGGATTGTTGAGTTTTCCAGACCCTAGAGCTCTCCCTGATCTGATTTTCTGCCAAATTTACCAAACCACTTCCTGCTGCAGACAGAATTGAGTCCTCAGCACATGCCTGAAAGCAACTGAGAGCACTGATATTCCCTAAGTGATCCAAGGAAAATCGCTTCTAGACAGGAAACAATAACAGCTCAAGCCATTAGAGCTGCTCTAAAACCTTTCCTGCGCCTGCCCTCCCCCCTCCATTAGCTAGAGTTTTACAAATGCAGCCAGAAAGAATCTTAAAGGTGCAAATTGTGCTCCTCAGGCTGGCAAATCCATGCCCAGAGCCAACATTTCCCAACGGGATAATCCCCCACAATTATCCAGGTAGGACTGCACCTCCTTTCAAAGAGGACCAGCATCGTGCATCCCATTCCAAACACTCCCAGGCACTTGGAAAAGCTCTTTCAATTTAGGAGCAATGAGCTCAGAGGCTTGTTAATTAATTAGAATTCTGGGGAATAAAGTGAAGTGCTGGCAGGAGACGCGGTGCCAAGACCAGCCACGCCTTAATCCGCAGCAGTTCCTCAAGTTTCATTCAGGAAAAATTAAACCAAAGGCAAAACTCTTGAGCCCTGCTTGATTCCTGTCAGCATTTTTCAGGTCGTGTCTTTGGCTGTGGCTGGTTGGAGCTGGATATCTAAGGGTGTGAGAAACCAGAATTCATCTCCTCTGGGTTATAGGGAACCCACCCAGCAGTGAAGACTCAACCACACAAAATACTTCTCATCGTGGCTGACGCCAAAAAACCCCTACCGAGACCTCAGCAGCTGCAATAAAAGCTGCCAAACCTCTTATCCCTCACTTATCTCCTGTTTTTTTCATTGCCATCCTCTCCTCGTGGCTCTCGCAACCTTGGAGCTCCTTACCTTGCTGGGCACACAGGACTGCAGCCAGCAGGGCCACCAGAAACGCCTTCATGGTTGGTCCTTGTGCCTTCAGAGACGGAGTAGTGCGAGAAGATTCATCAGGGAAGGTTTTATACCGGCCCTGCCTTGTCTTTGACTTCCTTGGATTGCAATAATTTGAGGTTTGGGCAGTGCCAGCGCCCAAAATGTGATCAGTGATGGGTGTGTTTGTGCGTAGGAACCCATTATGAGGCTGCAGATAGCGATGTTTTTTTACCTCTCCTGCCTATCCAGTCTATTTTTCCGAGGCCTACTCCTGTCTGCATTRCTAATTTGGGGGATGATTGATCTAATCCAAACATGGGAGTCCCGTCTTGGGCTGAGCCACGAAACCTGGAGCGAGTCAGATGTGGTTGTGCCTGGCTGGGGTGGCTCATTGCTTGCTGACGTTCTCCGTTCTTTCCCTCTGTAGTGGAATGGGAGCTTAATATCTCTGAGAAGTGGGAGAGGAGGCAAGGAAAGATTTTTGGATTGTCCATAGCCATTCAGAATTATCTCAGTTGTAGAAAGAAAGTGCTTTAAACAGAAAAAAAAGTAGTGTTTCTGCAATCATGGAATAAGAGAAAGGTTTGGGCTGAGAGRGACCTTAAAGACCCTCTTGTTCCACTCCTGATTCAACTGTTTATGCCTGGAGATGTCACTCAGAGGCTCCAGTGGTCCAGGCAGGGMTGGGGTCTGATGGTTTGTTTTGCTCTCCTGTCCTCCAGAACCATCCAGGGTTTCCAGGTGACAATGTTTGTTGCTCCCTGGAGACCAACTCCAGGCTATGTCAGGTTTTTCCAGTCCCTCATGACCTTTCCAGTCTTTCTGGGCTCCCTCCTTCTGCTCCCACACCATCACTTGACTCAGGGTGCAAAAGARCTAAATGACTCAGGGTGCAGGAGAGGCACCAAGTGCATGGAAACACCTGCAGGAGTTAAAAATCCACAAATGGGAGAGAAAACGACTGAGAAATAAAAGAAATCCTGGTTAAAAATTCTTGGCAGGACCCTTTCGAGAGAGAAAGGACCAAGGGGAGCTCCAAGTCAAGGTTTGTAAGGTCACAAGTGGAGTGGAAACAGAAAAAAGAACATCCAGGTGCTCTTTGTTTTCCCCAGATTAATCACAGAGTCACGGGATACCCTGAGTTGGGAGGGACCCAAGAGTATCAGTGAGTCCAACTCCTGGCCCTGAACAGGACATCCCAAAAAATCCCACTGAGAGCTTTTTCCAAGCACTTCTGGAACTCTGGCAGATTTGGGGCCATGATCATTTCCCTGTCACACCACAGTCTCTTCCTCTGCCCACCTGCCTGCAAAATCCTGGGTTTATTCCCAAACCCTGTTAATGATTTTTTTTTTTTTTTTTTTTTTTTTTTTTTTTTTTTTTTTTTTTTGCTTCCAATTGTTTTTCCTTTGCCTAATTCCTCCTTTTCTGCAGCAGTTTCAGTCCTCAGTGATTCTGTCTCCTTGTCCAGAGGGTGGAGGGGATGAGCCTCCAGTTTTCCAAGTTTTCTGTTCTGTTCTCTGGTCTGACCTTGAGCAAGAATCTTGAACTATTTCATCCTTTAGGGAGGATGTGAAAGGCCCACGTGATAGATAATGCAGCAACAATATTTCAGAAATAATCTGGAGGAAAAAAAAGTTCTCTCCGAGCAGAATTCCTTATAAACACAGGCGTGAAAAACATCAAGCAGGAAACAGTATCTGCTGGAGCAGGGAGGGGAAAAACAGGTATTAATCCACATGTTTGTTTAATGTATAATACCAGGCAGCTGAAAAAATAGAAAATGAAACTTCCTTTCCTTCCATCCCATCAAAAACTCCCAAATGAAAATGAATTATCACTCCAAATCCAGCTCATCTCAGAGCCAATCGAGCAGAAAAATGCAGCTCCTCAGCAGGAAAGAGGGAAYGAGGCTTGAACACAGCCCACAACAAGCAAGAAGAAAAGCTTTTGGAATTAAAACAAATAAATGAGCAGTAAACAAATGAGGCTGTTAAAGCAAAGTGCAGCTGAATAGAAAAAATGTCAAGTGAGAAATGGGCTGTGGGAGGTGGGAATGTGAGAAAGCTTTTAAATAGATTAGAGAGAGGGGAGATTAATAATAACAATAATAATAATAATAATAAACAAGATTAATATTTCACACAGAAGGGTAAAGAGAGGAGGAGGGAGTGGAGAAATATTGGTGCAAAGCTAAATAATTCCAGGCAAACACACAAAGCTTTGGGGAAAAAATAATTAAAGACAGGCAGAGGGAGGGTGAGGAATAAGATGGGATGGGAAGGGAGTTCCTCCTCCTCTGTGGAAAAGGTCCATTTTTTTTTATGTGCAGACCCTGTTCAGGTGGTAAAAACAGCCCTTCAAGGGGTTGGGAAGCTGYAGAATTCCCCAAATCCCAGTTTATCCCATCACTGTGGGCTCCTGGATGGGGAAAGCATCCAGGGCATCACCTGACCCCCTATTCCTGTGTCCCTGGAGGAGACTGCCCAGGCTTTGGGAGACATTCCAGGGTCTGGCCAGGTCCCCAGTCCATGCTATTCTTGGGCACYGTTAGCATTGCAGTCACGCCCAGGGCCACTGCAAGTGCTCTGGGCTCCAAGCAGCACCACGGTACCAGGGGTAACAATGCCTTTGGAAGCAAAATCCTGTTTTTCTGAGAGAGGGGTGAAGAGAGCTGGAAGAAAATCCAGGGCAAAGACAACAGAGAGATTGGGAGAGCAGATGGTGAGGAGAACGTGGCGGGAAGGTGCTAAAACCATTTCCCAGGGACATAAAAAACGCAGGATGAGGGGAAGGCAGTGAGATGCTGAAACTGGGCCAAGTGGGTGTCACCCAGTGGGTGTCACAAAGGGAATTGAACAGTTAACAGGGCCTGGGAGTTTTAGGGAAAAGAAACCTTCACCCACTCGGGGCTTGGCAGCCATGGAGGGTGTTTGTGCCAGGCCTTGGGAATGMCTTGTGCAAGGCCAGGCCTTTTTGTGTAACTTGAGTCAGACAAAGTATGGTTTCAGCCCGGGATGGAGGGATGGGACGGAGCCAGATCCAGGGAGGTTTCAATGTCAACACTTCCCACTTTCTCCCCTTTTTTTTTTCTGGAAGGTGGCTCTGATCTCAGCTCCTTTCAATGGTGAAGGAGGAGACTCCGTTTCAGCTCAGGGCTGKGAAGTGTGGCCTCAGGAAAGAAAGGAGAGGCTATGGAGAAAGGGGGAAGGTGGAAGACATGGATGGTGCTCCTTGCATCCCTGAGTCACACAGATGGTGCAAGAGGTCCAGCTTGGCTCCAGACAGCCTCAGGCTGACCTGCTCCTGTCCTTTTCCCTTCCTTGGAGGGTCAGGGAAGGTTGGGTTGCTTCATCAGGGTGTGGGGAATGAGCAGAAATGGAAGATTGTGAAATACACAGAAATATCCAGAAAAATTGAAAAGCTGAGTGTGACATTTTGCCTTGTCCACCTCAGGCCTCTTACAGGCAGCCTGCACCATTCCTCCCTTTCCCAAARCACATCTGGCACAGCTGTTCTGGAATGCTCCAAACAACAGGACAGAGCTCCTCAGGTAATTTCCATGACAGAGGCTACCAAACCTCCAGCTTCAGGGGACAAGAGTAGCCCAAATCCACCAGCAGGTGATTCAGATTGGTTTCAAGGCCAGGTTGGATGGAGCTTGGAGCACCATGAGGCAGTGGGAGATCGCTGCCCATGGCTGGGGTTACAATGAAATTATCTTTAAGGCCCTTTCCTACCCAAACCATTCCATAATTCTGTGACTTCCACCTCAGCAGCCGTGATGGTGTCCCAGATGAGGGTCCTTGAGATAGCCCAAAAAATCGCTGACAAGGGTGTGAGCAAGAGTCAGATTTAATATTAAACCATGAAGCACAACAGATTCATTGGCAAGATTCACTCTACTTACAGCTAAGGCACAGTAAGGGAAAGTGAGCAACAACAAAACCAAACAAAATCCAGACAATCAAAACAGAAATTAATTTAAGACTGCCTAGGTATGTGTGGGGGTGTGTGTATGTGTGGATAGTGTAGACCAGGATGAAAAGGAGTGTGGCCTAAAGCTTAACAACACTTAATCTTAACAGTAACTTCAACTTAAATTAACTTAACTTATACTGTAATTTATAGCTTAGCCTTAAMAATCTAACASASAAATAAYACCTAACAGCATTAGCCTAAAWTCTAACTACAACTTCGCTTTCAGATTTGCTATGGTATATGTGCAAGGGCATGTACCCAGACGTAAAAGTCAGTGCAAAATAAAGTACCTATGGAAAAATTTCCCTCAGAGATCAGTGAAAAATACACACTTGAGATGCTTTTGCATCTCCCAACAGGYRAAGGATCGGGCCTTGAGGAGTGAGGATATCGGCCCAGGACACGTCATGTTTCAGAGATCCTAYAGGAATCCSAAACYTGAGGGTTTGCTGGCTCCAAGGAGYGAAGATWTCRGCCCAGGRCATGCTGTGTTTCYGTGATCCTCCARRTATAGMAAACCYGAGGGTGTGCTGGSTCYRARAGGCCCCTCAGAGGGAGATTTCTGGTTGCAGGCCTGCTGCTGTCCAGGAGAGATCAAAGGCCTCCATTTTGGCCCGCTGTTTATGGGGGTGCAAGAGAGTGRRCTTTAATMATAACAATGCTTCAYCCTGGCCACAGTTTGGGTCGGCACTTCTTTTGAARGTGTGAGAACAGGAATGTTATGCCATTTGRGCCAGAGAAATATTTTYYAAGGCTGGTCATGAGGAAAACAGAAGCTTGTTAGSAGTTCCTGGGAGGTGACAGTGTTTTTGATAAACTCAGAAAGAGCTGAGCTCAGGTGRTGTTTTCAAGGCCAAGGCYTAAAAAGCATTTCTCAGATCACACTGCAGCCTGGAAAAAACTGGGGAAGGTGGGATGGGGGGAATGCACTGCCATAGGTGATCACCAGAAGCCTTCCTGTTGATCTCAAGAGCTGAGGAATTTGCGTCCTTTGGGGTCGCAGCCAACRGGGAACCAAAGCCATTTTATCACATTCCCTCAAACTCCAAGATCCTAAAGGATATTTCAGCACCCCATCAGCTTGGACAGGCATCAAACAGCACCATAGTGT